GCATGTACACGCATAAAAACGCTGCCTTCAAGTTAATCCAATGGGTTAATCCAATGTTCGGGTCGACTTGTGAAGGGCATGGATTAGGCTGATATTCCGCGAATGCGTCATGGTACTCGTTGTATGGCAAAGAAGCGGAGTTATCAGTGATATAGGGCTCTATGCATAGTACGAGGGGGTATGACAGCTCGGTTGGGCACTCTGGGGCTGCGCGATCACTCATTCACAGGGGGGTAATGCGGCGCGGTAATGTTTAGATGGATTTTAGTTAACTTCCCCTCGTTTTCTATCTGCTCTAACAGGTTAAAAAGAGATGTTCAATCATCAAAATTGACCCGGGCCAGAGATATGGAAAATGCACACAATGACCCCAGAACGGTGTTTTTTTTGTTTTTTTAATCTCTCTAAAAAGGTAAAATATCACTTGTTTTGCGTCAATCTTGATACAGGGCACTTATTATATGTTATATTTTGGATTCCTAAAGTTTGTAGTCTACTATCCCATCATTCAAGGGTGGTTTTCACTACAAGTAATGTTTTTATTTGACGGACACTATCATTTAAAAAGTGTTACTATGTTCAAACTGAATTTTCTTGAAAATAAAAAAATTCTATATTGATTCTGACTTTTCTACATCCAACTCACTGGTTTATCATTGCTTTGAGAAAAAAGATTATTAATTTACCCCTTTTAGAAGTGAAGAAATGGTCATTTGTTCTGGGAAGGTCATTTTCGAGCCTGAGACCTTAAAAACAGGCTTGAGGCGTAACAGCTTAATAAGCACACACTGAAACCAGCATTTAAAATCACACACACTGCAGCAGCTTTTTTCTGTTGTTCACCCTATGTTTTCCTTTATTCATCTGTCAAATATGCACACTAATAGCAAAGGCCTAGTTTTTAATGTACAATTGTAATATTTGAAAAATGACAGATCAGCTTCATATTACACTGTGCATATTGAATGTCATGTTAAAGAAGGGAGTCATTAAACTGAAGGCTGGACTAAATCTGTGGAGGCCATTCTGTTACATAAGACTTAGTAATGTCATAACTTTTTTAATTCCCTCTGCTCAACATATGTGATTGCATAAAGTGAACTTGATTACTTGAGTCATTTAAAGTATAGGCATAAGCTTCACTTAACTTTGTACTTAGCTAAATATTCAACTCCTGAACAACAACAAAAAGCCGGCGTTTTATCCAGTTTGTACACAACGATGGAGAAACTTAACAAGCAGCAGTGGTCCACTGAAGAGACCAGCTACCTACTGGGAATCTGGTCTTCCGAAGAGGTACAGAGGAAGCTGGAGCACAATCGGCCATTATTGTTGTTGTTGTCGGTGTCAGCTGTGAGGGGTTTCCACGCGGTTTGGCTTTATGAAGCAGGCACGCAAACGGTTACGTCATGACTCAAACGATGACGCAATGACGCAGCACCAGTCGGACTCTGGGCTGTGTGAGAAGAGCCGGAGCTAAACCAAAGAACCGGTTCTGAACCTGAAAAGCTCTAGCACAGAGCTTGAACCGGAGTTGCGTTGGTGTGAATGAGGTATGAGTCAGATCGTAAAGTGGTTCAGCAGACTGATTGGTGAGCCACAGCTAAACCTGGAGACCCTGTACCTCAGGCAGTTACAGCGGTTATCCAGCTCCATATTAGACCATGACTCCCACCCTCTGCACTCAGAATTTAAAGGGGACATATCATGATATATTTGCTCAATATATTGTAGGGCCATACCTATATAAAGTATATAAATATAGTTTTTTTTTCAAAATACCAAACATCCTGCATTTTAGCCATGCCTCATTTCGCTCCATTTGCTCTTTCCAGCGCTGTTTTTGCAGGGGGCTGATTCTGTGAGCTGCAGCTGACCACGCCCCCCTGCAGGAGAGGGGAGCGTGCTTTGAGATCAGCTGCTGGGCTGCAGCGGGGAGAAAAAGAGATCTTTTTTTTTTTAAATCAATAAAATCATTTTCTAAATCCATAAAAGCATTTCAATTAATATTGGGAGTCATGTCGTTACTTTGTTGAGAATGTGGCCATGTATATGTACTACAGCGTCTCCAGCGCTTTCGAGGGGCAATGGCCGGCCGTGGCCCAACCCCACATTCCCCTGATAGGTGAAAATTGACCACTAAGCGGAGCACCCCTTTTGTGACGTAGAAAATAATTCAAATCTGGATCAGTCTGTATCAGATCCGTTGTATCCCCGTTTTTAGAGATTTGGGTATGGAGGAAAATAGAGAGGGTTGTATTTTCTGACACTTGGTGAGTTCCCTGACACACCGGGGACACATATTCATGTACAAAAGACGTACAAGAGTGCATTTTGCATGATAGATCCCCTTTAAGCTTTTTCCTTCGGGCCGGAGGTTAGTTGTCCCAAAGAGTAGAACGAAGCGGTATAAAAACAGTTTTATCCAGTTTTATTTATGTACTTAATTATGAATGTTGAATGTCCATGTTTGTACTAGTGTTTTCCTTCTTAAATGTTTTGGAAATGTTTTGAGATTTGACGGAGCAGGGTTAACTTGTACTTTTTCCTAGTCCTTTTATTAGAGATGTGTCTGTTGTTTGTGTTTGTTTTTAGAGTCTGTCAGGATGGATCCCTTGTCTTTTTCTCTGCAAACAAAATCTACCTACGGGTACAAATAAAGAACCTGAGCCTGAAGGGTTGCTTACACAATTTATTTCTGAGAACAAAATTTGAAAATCTCTGTGTGTTCTGTATTGAGTATTTAGCCTAGCTTAGCATAAGGTCAGACTGGAATGCATCAAACCTTTCCTTTTAGGAAACAACATAAGAATATCTATATCAATCTTGTCTGTTTTTGTTATGTATCGAGCTGGAGCAGTTAGCCTAGCTTAGTCTAAAGTGTAGAGCAGAATGAAACAGTACGGGGAAATTGGCTCAACCATATTTTCAGAGGAAATAAATAACAATATCAGTTTACATCTTGTTTACATTTGTTATGTATTGAGATGGACTGGTTAGCCAAGCTTAGCGTAAAGAATACACTACACATTTTGTGAGATTTCGTACACATTTCATTGACAACAAAATTAGAAGGTCAATATGAATCTTGTCTCTGTGTTAAGTAGACAGATGGACTGGCTAGACTAACTTAGCAATAAGACTAGAAGTACAGAACTAAGCTAACATATACATACAAATATATATACGTGTTATATTTAATAACTGCCTCTGCATTTGATTACTAGATGTTTTAGTAACATAAAAAATGTTCTTGATATATATGCATGTATGTACTGTAGACAGTAAAATACTTACACTCATATTTCCCTATTTTATTATAACATAAATCCCATATTTATAAGAATTAGAAACCATTATATCTCACCAATCAAAGTTCACATTTTAAGACAGTTCCTAAATGATATCATCAAGGAAACCTTTATTTGTATTTAAATCTGCTTTATTCCTGATGACACACTGTTCTTATCACTCCAAACAAGAAATCCTTGCAGAGATTCACTTGACTTTTGAGCAGGTACTTCAGATAACCACCTCCAGTGTTGAGTTTATCATCCAGAGAAGAGTTCTGGCTCTTCCAACAGAGAAGGGACCAGAGAGACCTTTGAGGGCTGTAGGAAATAGGGAGTGAATGACAGGAAAGAGAGGCGAGGAGTAACATCAGAAGGGCCTACAAAAGTGCAGTGATGAGGTGCATCCCTCAATTCAATTTCATTTAAAGGGGCTTGATAGGCTTTCAAGAAACAATATTGCCAGAGTATAAAAACGTATATGTGCACTATAATAATTATATGAATATTAACTTATTAATGTAATAGTACGATTATTATACATTAAATATATACCGTATATATAGAGTTCAGTACATTTCTGACTCCTTCTCTCAGATCCCAGAGGAGCATGACCAGGAGAGTCAGGTGAGGATGGAGCGGCAGTGGAGGTTTCTGAGGAACACCCGCGTCAGGAGGCAGAGCCGAAACATCACACACAAAGGTGAGTGACGCACACACTCTAACACACACAATTAGATGAAACATGCATGTTAAAATGATGATTTGTTTCTTTGACATGCTGTACAACGAACATTGGAAGATTCAATAAAGTGTACTCTTTATAGAAACAGTGGATTAAAGTGTAATGTGAATGGGCTATTGTCTTTAAAGACTTTTTTTGTTCAGCTTTGTTTGTAAATCAACACAATTTTCAACATGGTCAGTAACAGTAGCTTACATTCTGTTCACCACCTGCAGAGCACTTAACAGCAAAACGGCAAAGTAAGCGACTAGCTGCTTAAGAAGGAAACAAGCTAAAGGCTAGCTGGAAAGATCTTTTTTTTATAAACGCTAAAAAGAGAGTGAAATTGAGACTGGCATTGGCCGGGTGGCCAGAAACACAACCTCAAATGTTGGTGTTCAAAGTATAAATAAGCAACTGTTTGCAAACGGGTCAGCAGTAACAGCTTTAAAGAGAATAATATCAACGTGCTTAAGAAAATATATTTTACATGTCATATTAGCTGACACTTTTGTCCATAGCGACTTACGCTTTCATTCCGTAGACATGCCTAAAGGAGCAATTTGGATTGAACTATTTCTAATTGATAAGAAGTAGGGCAGCCATTGTTATAACATAAAGGCTGGGGATTTATCCGGAAACCATGAAGCGTTTAAAAAAATAACAAAAAATGACCAAGTTTGACCCAAAGTTGCTCCCATAATACCAGCGCTGAGGTTTACCGTGAACCCCATGGTAGTGAAAAGGCAAAGGAATTGGCATTAAATATGAATATTTCACTAACTAGAGACCACTGGCCATCAATAAGAGGCATCAATACCTCGATGAAATGGCACAGCACATCTTCACTCACTTTAAGTTTAGTGAAGACGGAAGAAAGTCACCTTGCTGAAGCATGCGCAAGCATAATTCACTTTCATTTTATTGTTGTGGCTTTCAAGGATTTTGAGGCTTGGATTGGGGGTATGAGGTTCAGAGTTTCTACTTTGCTTTGTCATCACTCGACAGCATATATTTCCTTTTTGTCATTTAGCTTCAGGGACCTCATGTTTATTTATTCAGTTTGGTTTGTAGCAACTTTAATTACTTATTAGAACTGCAAACAGTTCTCATTACTGTCCCATGTATTCTGTTACTCCAATAAAAAAGAATTTAACCTTGATGTGCTTTATAAATAAACTGGCCTGTCCTTGGACTCCAAATGCATCAACTTATGTACTTTAATATATTTGGACAGACAGAAGTCCCTGGCTTAGAGGACAGGATTCTTACCTTTTGTACTACAGTCGTTTCTGATAGAAGCTCTACCTGCAGTGTGTCAAATAAAGTGCAAAGATCACAGAATATAAGCGCTGAGATTTTGCCAGAATCATGTTGAATTAAATATATTTAGAGGGGAAATCAGGGTGAACTCCAGACTGAGACACGACCAGGGTGTACCTTTGTTTCTGACATGAAAGTAAGTATGCATTGAGGAGGCCGGAGATTGAGTGTAATCTACCCTAGTCAGAACCAGTGAAACCAGAGATGTATGGTCGATACGAATACCAGTGAAAACCAAAGTTCTCAATGCCATTAAAAAAAAAAAAACGGTAAAAAACACAAACACGTTGTGGCCCTGCCCCCTTTTTGTTGAAAACATTTTCTGTCATTTTATTTGCGGTAAATAAATAGTTTAATTGAAAGAAATAGAGGATCTATGTCCGGTCAGTCTGCCAGTGGATGACTAGCTGGGAACGGCTGACACTTAAAGGGAGATTTATGATTAAAGTTGACCTTATTAGCATCATAATGTACAGTGCATCTGGAAATTATTCATACCTCTTAACTTTTTTTTTCTCACATTTTGTCATGTTACAGCCTTATTTCAAAATTGATTGGATTCATTTTTTTCTCAACATTCCACACACTATACCCCATAATGATGTAATTTGTTGCAAATGTGTTAAAAATAATCAAATGAAATATCACATTTACATAAGTATTCACACCCTTTGCTTTGACAATGAAAATTGAGCTCAGGTGCATCCCGTTTCCACTGATCATCCTTGAGATGTTTCTATAACTTGACTGGGGTCCACCTGTGGTCAATTAAATATATTTGACATGACTTGGAAAGGAACACACCTGTCTCTATGAGGTCCCACAGTTGACAGTGCACATCAGAGCACAAACCAAGTCATGAGGTCCAAGGAATTGTCTGTAGACCTCAGAGACAGGTACTGTATGTATCAAGTAGACCCTCCAGAAAAACGCGATTCTGCAATCGCAGAATTTACCGCATAATCAGCAAAATGGCGCAGATTTTTAAAAGGCCGCATATTTATCAAAAGGCCGCATAATCCCCGCATTTTTCCACACAAAGTTGAGAAGAAAAAAAAGTGAACTTGACGTGACGTCATCAGCTCGCGCATCACAGAATGTAAACAACACTGTATAGAGTGAACGTGTGGAGCTCACACGATAGAGAAAACACCAAGATGAAAAAATCTAATCCATCTCATTTACCGACGAACATTTCTACTAAAGACCGGGCAAAAAGTGGGGGGAAACTATTCTGCACCCCGTGCAACTGTGTGTTGGAGCATAAGAGAAAAATCGACGGTGACGACCCACTTTGATTCATTCAAACATTCGAAAATGCTTTCTGCTGCTGCGGACAAGAAAGCCAAACAACTCACATTCACAGAGGCATCAACCTCCAAAACCCTTTCGAGGGCTACAAGAAACGAGGTGAGTAGCCTACAAGATTGGAGCTGGTCAGATAACGAACGAGTAAATGAAAACAGAATGAGGCGGAGAAGTGTGTGTGTGTGTGTGTGTGTGTGTGTTGGGTGTGTCCTAGACTGTGTGGTGTGTGTGTGTGTGTGTGTGTGTGTGTTGTGTGTGGTGTGT